CAGCCCACGACGCAATCAGAACTGCAAGTCTCAGAGCTGTTCAGGCATCGAAACACCCCGCTCCGGACCGCTTGCCCAATTCTCACCAAGCAGCTGGACGGACGGCAATGGAGGCCGACATGCGGAGTGCTGAGCGAAGGCTGGAAAAAGCGCGTGTTTCTCCCGAGCTGGCTGGAGCCCAATACAAAACGCTTACAGCAAAGGCGGCGAAATGACCAGGACCGATCCTTCTCCTGGGGCCTCACACCGACAGGACTCGACACTCGGCGGCGTCGGCTTCTGCGAAGAAGCCACTTCAAGTCCCCAGACTCGATAAACCATCGCCTGGCATGGACATGCGTGAACAAGGGCTAAGTGAGCATGAGCTTGCGCACTGCGCCGCACGAGCCTCCAAGGTCAACTGCATGCCAACCCATCGTGAAACCACCTCGACTCGAGACAAAGCAAGCAAAGATGTTGAAGAATCGAAGACAGTGTCTCCTGTTCTAGGTGTCCTCATCAGTTGTCTACATACATCTTCCATCTACATCATGTTGGAGTTTCCTTGAGCTGCACAGTGGCAACAGCCGAAGTATATATGAACGATGATACATCGAGAAAATGTGCTCTGGAGAACAGAACGCGTGCTATGTGTGTGATAGCATAAACAAATAAATGACATATATATATATATATAACAGAGAGAGAGAGAGATAGAGCATGTCTACAATGCGTGTTCGAAAGATTAGGCATGCCGTGCTTGTTGCTGCAACGCTTGCGCTTCTCCCCGGTTGCAACTAACATATGCTATGTCTTGCCAGCGAGACTGACTCCTGGGGCGGGCCGCAAGGTTGCTGCACTTCACCGTTTGATTTACAGTACCTCCTAATTACGGATGGATTCCTAATCATGCAAGCCACGACTTGCCTCGTTGGTATGTCTGCCCGCTTCCTTGCCTTTTGTCGTTGTGCACTCAGAAGCATGCCGTTCGTCGTCTCAACGTGAACATAAACCTCACCCCTGTGAAAGAATGCCTCGTCCGTCCAACCGAGACAAGAGCGATGTTCAATCAGCACATGCGAGACAAGTTCGCATAAGACAGGTAATCCACGGCGACTGCTCCAAAGTCTTGGTCTGACCATGAAAGCGCCAACCTTACAAATGGTCTGTGCACAGATTCAAAGCCTGCAGCTGCCTGGCCGCTGCGTCCTTCAAGAGGCCGAGACGCGCGAGCCTTGGATGGCCCAAGCCCTATTTTTAAACTCGGATGCGACGAGGTTACTTCAGCGTGCCCGCGATGCATGCTGAGGTGATCACCCCATCACCCTTGACGAATCTGAGAATGCGGCAATGCGACATTGAACCAGGTACAACCGAAGGCCCGGGATCCCGTATCGTTGAGCCCCTATATTGCAATAGTTGGAGAATGCACGGTTATGCAAAGCACGCACTTCGAGTCCTTGTCACAACGCAGACTTGCCGATGCTTGAAGGCTGATCCGAAAAACCACCTCACATTTCTCACCTCTTCCTTCTCTTCTTGTGTCCCCGGTCGGACTCAGGACGAGCTCCGCTGCGTGTCGAGCTGTACGAGTCCTGAACTTCAATGAAGCTTACTGCTAAGACTTATCCGTTGTAGCTGCAGATTCTGCTCACAGACAGAACGGTTCGCCTTGTCACAACCCTGGTGTTTTGCCCCTTGTGCCTCGTAGGACTCGTAAGACCTCAAAGGCTCGGGACAAGAAGTAAAGCATGCAGTCTACATTCTACAAACATTGCAAGCATAAACATCTCAAGCATGCCCTTTCCTGCTGCAAACACATCTGACGCATGTCATCTTCAGTTCAGGCGCTCGTACGTGGAGGACTCCACCTTGCCGGAGGGACTCCCAGATACTGGTGCGCGTTTGCCTGGCTCGTGGAAGACACGAGATTCACTGTGAACTCGCTGGGCTAGACTACAAAGGCCACGGAAAGGGCTCGGATGAACCAGTGATAGCAGGCATTGGAGTTCTCTTAGGCTGGTGCAAAATGCAGCCTTGCAGGTTTGGACACCGATAGCTGCGAAACCAAGGGACGCTTCTGGCGGGGGGTCAGCCAATCAAACTGCCAGTCGAAGTCCAACTGGCAGCAGCTGCAGCTCCATAATCATAAATCCACATGACGATTCATGAAACTGATTTGAAGGTGCCTGGTGTCGAGAAGCTGCTTTCCGGAAGAGGCTGCGGAGGTGATCGTAGTCGGGCTTGTCCTTGAAGCCTGCCACATGTTAGAAGCACGAATGCCTATCAGCGAAGGAACGACTGAAAGTTTCTGAAGCCTAGTGAGTCGCAGTACTCCAGGTACTGCACGAATTCCTTGGGAAAGCCTTCGGCGGGCTTGTGCAGCATCCACTAATCAGACTTCCAGTCTCGCAGATCTGAGTCTTTGCTTAGGAGCTTTTGCACAGGTCCTGGTGCGACGTTGCCGCCTTGCGTTTTCCAATGCGCGTTTTGCGCTTCTTCCTCGGGTTCCAATCAGAAACAAGCACGAGCTGTTGCAATCTCTTTTGGTGCACCCAGGAGACTTGTCGCGATGGTTTATTCCTGCGGCGGTTTTGTGGGCTACAAAACACTTGGTGTTCTCAGTGTTTTGAGGGCAGTGGCCGTGGAAGCCCACGTCCTTGCCAAGGAAGCTTCCCGCGCAGGAAGTACAGCAGCACATAGCCGATGGAGCCCAAGTCATCCCTCGCTTCGAGCCCCGAGCAACCGAGCAAACGCGCAAAAAACCGATGTGCAGCTTGGCAGCCGTCGGCTCGGCTCGCAGCCTCGAGCGTCAGAGCAGTGCCAGATCGTGCCAGGTACATCCAGGTAGAAGTCTACTTCAATTTCGATGCATGGGGCTAGTTTATCAGCCTCCGGCATTGCTGAAGCCACGATGTCTGACATGCATGCCCGCTGAATACACCGAAAACTTGATCACCAAGTGGCCCTGATGCAGGTTGACCGTCACGTATCGCGCCGTTCCGGTGATGCCACTCTTCTTGACAAACGGAATGTGTTTGCCAGTATCTGGATCTCGAAAACCTACGGAGAACAGCACAGCATAACCCTTTTGCAGATCAGGTCCAGCGATTCGCTTGCCTGATAACTATAAAGCCAGAAACTGGGCAAATTAGAGGGCAAATTAGAAAAAAAGTGAAAAATATCAAACCCAGAACAACAGGCTCAACAGAAGACTGACCATACACAACCGTAAACAACATGGAAACAAGCTGACCGAAAATCAGAGACAAACATGAAGCCAAAGATAGCAGCTTGCAACAAAATCATGAAATCGCACGCCCCAGGGTGCAACACCACCTGCTCTACGAAGCTGTTGCCTTTGCCGGTCTCTCGTTGGGCTAGGGCTGTTTGTGCTAACGCCACCTATTCAGACGGGCAGGTTACGCCCGTTTCAGCTGCTCTGGTTCTATGGATCTCCTCAACCCTGGCCCTCACGAGATCTGGAACTATTTGTGTGCATGGCGTTTCGGCGTAATTCCCGGGACCGGTCGACTTGAACACGTCGGCAATCTTCCTTTGGATCTGCATCGTCATCTTGTCCTAACCCTCATCACGGTATCATCCATCGACAATCACCATAATCATCGTAATCTTCATCTGAACCACGGTCTTCACAGTCATCACCATGATCATCATCACGATCTTCACCTTTAACAATCATCACGATCTTCACCTTTAACAACATAACCACCATCATCGTCATCAGCCTCACTGTCGCAATCGCAGTGATCATCCCCGTGCTCCTCCTCTTCATCATTCTCACCTGTGCATTCATGGTCTTCGTCATCAAGATGTTCCTCTCCATCCTAACCGCCACAAAAACACCATGATTTCATAACTTTGTCGTGGCGAACATCACCATGATAACCACGAGGATCATCATACTAGTTTTCGTTGTCGTCATCCGAACTATAGTTGCCTCATCTTTTGGGACACTCTTAGCGTCACATTCATCACCGTCAAGAGAACTTTTCTGCTCTAGGGAGTATTGATGCAGCTACTTCTTGTCCGATTTCCTTGGAAAGCGAATACCTTTGATCATGACAACCTGGTCCCAGAGCCGGAGATTCCAGCAAAAACCTAAACCGTGACAACACCATCAAAGCATGCCAGACTGCGAAACTCTGCTTTGCGAGGTAAACAGTGTCTCCAACATTGAAACCTCAGCAAAAGCATCTCCGAAGACCTCGTTGCCTGCCTGATGTTGCCTGCGCCAAGCAACCTGCGAACTTCAAGAACCACGTTTTACCTGGGAAAACGTTTGCCTCCTGCATTGCTGAACGAGTCACTATGCAGGGAAGGTGAGAGAAATACATGGGACACCTGCATGTTCAAGTGAAAAGCCTGAGACCCTAGCTTTCCTAATGACATCTGCGAGGGGAAACAGTCCCTCCAACATTGAATGTAGAATTCTCAGTAGAAGCATCTCTGAAAATTTCGTTGCCTGAGCGATGTTGCCGGCACCAAACAACCAGTGGACTGACAAAAATGCACTCTGCCCGCAAAAAACACTCCCTGTCAAGAAGCACTTGCGTCAGAGCTCGGGTCCGCTCAGGTGGCGTTACAGTACCCTGTTTTTGTTTCCCAACACTTGCCTGATTTAGTTGTCATGTCCCTATTTACTTTCCACTATGTGTCCATGCCTTTTCCTGCGTTTTCCTTTATTTTACCTTTATTATCCGTCTCTATTCCAGATTGAATCCATTGTGTCTTCAATCGCTTCGGTTTCGCCGTTAAAACAAGTTCGTGGGTTTCGGACCTACTGACCTCATGGACCTTGGGAGGAATTAGACACGGAACCCGATGCAACACAAAAAAACAACAACAGCGAAGAAAGTTCAAAAAAGCTGACAAATCACCAAGCATCCACGAGGCAGATCATGATATGAAATGTGAAATCAAACACCTTGCTGGCAACAAAGATTCTTGCCCACAGAGTTTGCTGTCCAGACAGAGATGGAATAAGTTTCCGTGCACTAACGGTACCGCGGACCCTTTGTCTCTCATTGTGCAATCAGTGACATGTTGATTCGTTCTGTATCTGCTTTCGGGAAATCCATCTTAGCTCCCCATTTTTGTGCCATGTCGTGTTTGCTCTTTTCGTGCACCCGATTTGCACTGGCAATCCGAAAACATTCACATTCTTTATTGTTTCCAGGCGTAATAGACACAATCGAACATGAAAAGGTTGAGCAAACGTCTTTCGTACGGCTAGGGGCGTTTTGCCAAGCCGAAGTCCACAATGTATACCTGAAGCAAGTTGGCTAAGTTGCAGAAGGTGGTGAGCTGGCACGAACCTTGCACATAATCACTGGTCAGTGCCTTGTCATTTTGCCCATCCCCCGCACCAACAACGAAGTTGCTCGGCTTGATGTCCTCAACTTGATCGGGAAAGGTACCAGTCTTTCCACGCATACATGGATACCACGCTTGGACTGCTTCCCAGCATCCCGATGTAAGATCTTGTGCGAGTGAACAAACTCCTTGGAGCTTCCGCTCGACCAGAAAAGCAAACAGACTTGAGAAAATCTCGATGTCGACGCAACGTGAGCACCGACCAAGCGTCTATGCAGTTGATCATCTGCTCCCCAAGCATGAGCACAGTCTTCAAGCTAAACTTCCTGGCAACAAAAGCAATCATGCCCAGCAATCATCAGGCTCTCGGATCTGCGAGTCCTGCGGCAGGTCTTCATGAAGAGATCCTCCAAGGAGGGGCCCAGCAGGCCCATTGCCTCAGCACTTTTCGCGGGGCATCAGACAAGCACTTGCAACCCATCTTTGCGAACGAATTGAACGGAAGCAACCTTAGCAGCGCACCATGATATTGTACTCGTCCTGACTCCCGCACCAGTGTACCGTTGTGGTCGGGCTGTCCAAACCTTGGCGTCAGCGTGCCTCGCCAGCCTTGAGGTCCCGCCCCCTCTCTGTGCCCACCATCAACTTAGGAGGATGCCGAAGACTTGACAGAGCTCAGCCTGACTTCAACAGCGCTAGAGTCAGACGCAAGGCTGGACTCCAGCAAGCCCAGGCAGCCCAGGCCCTGGAGGCCTCTTTGAGGAGCCTCGGCCAACAGACTTTGCCGAGCAGAGGCCCTGAAATTTGGGATAGCCCGCTTCTACAACTCCTGGCCGGGTTTGGATGTTTTTGGAATATTACATCCTCGGCACTTGTCGGTCTTCTCAGCTTTCGTCCATTCGAACCTCAAGCTACCCAGCTGCGTCAACTCAGAAGTCAGCGTGGAACTTGGACGGAACCACATCAAATTCAGCCCGAGGAACTTCAAAGCCACATAGCGATTTGCTATGCGGTCCCAGGCCAAGCGCACAACACTGTACGAGCCGCTTCCCAGCTTACCTTAGACTATTAGACTTGCACATGCCATCGCCATCTTCAGCGTCTTGCGAACGTCTAGCTTTGGTCTTAGGGCGACCAGGAAATTCAGGCGCCAAAATCAGGCAACGCTGGGTGACATTTAAAGGCCAGGATTCCGGAAACGCCTCAATTCAGGCAACGCGTTCGGGAAGTAGGGAGAACCAACTCGAACAATGGTCGGGACATATTGGGAACAGGACAGCGGCAGTTCAGAAACCACCAGGCACAGGGCTCGGGGTCATAACCCTAAACTGGCCCTAAACACGCAAAAAAGATTTTTATAAGCAAAAGCCAAACCCTTCAAAGAAGATGTTCATGAGCACACCCCAAACCCTACACGTTGGCCCTAAAACCCGAAGTTAAGTTAGTGAACAAATCCCAAACCCTTAAAAGAAGATGCTGTGAGGTTGGCGAGGTGATTGCAAAACCCCATGTTGCTGAGTAAACCCCAAACCCTGATGTGGCTGAGCAGACCCCTGGTTAATCCTAAAAGAGATATCACACCGTCAAAGGATATGTTGCTCAGCAAACTGTATTCGCTCGGCTGGTTTGAAGCCGCTGCACTCCCGAATCTCCACGTCTGAATTGCGGTGCCTGGTTCCTGATTCCTTTGCATGAATTCCGCCCCGTTTCTTGAATGGGTCTACCTCCTTGGGTCAGGGATTGCGACACATCCTGTCTGTCCCAAGGGATGGCTTTCGGCTCCTTCACCATCCTCTCTGCACGAAGCAGTGGCCCGGCAGCAATGCAGGCCAAGGGCGCGAAATGTCAAAGCGGTCAGCGACAACCTGCACAGGGTGACTCTGTATGCCTAAGTCTGCATAGCCAAGCCGCCCAGTCCAACTTGAAAAGTCAAACGCCGCGAGCCTTGGGCACTTGGGGACGACCATCGGACTCATCATCACCTGGATATGGATAACCGCCAGACAAGCACTCAAGCTCCAATGAGATGCGTCGAGACTGAGCATGCCTAGATGAACCGAAAAGTTCCGGCGATGCCTGTTCTGCATACATGTTCTTCACACCAGAATAATTCGTGACACCATGGACGCGAAACCAATTTCGTGCACCAGTGGCTGGACAGACTGCCTTTGTCGACAAGCTTCTTCTCCTCAGCTTCAGTACGCTTCAAGCCTGCGTCACAACTATATAGCGGCTCACACTGCGCTGCATGGATCTGGAACGTCTACCGTCTGGGCTGGAAGCGACCGAATACTGAAGTATCACCGCAAGACTGTTGATTCACGACTGGGCTGACAGGAAGCTTCAACAATCTAGTGTATCGACATGCAACCAGGCATCAAAGGTCATCTTGCCATCCATCGGAAAACGCATCAGGAATCCCATATTCCTACAGCTGGGATGGCCAAGACCAGCTCGTCCCCACAGGGTCCAAGCCCAGGACACTGATGAATCTTGACTCGACGGTCTTGCAACCGTTACATAGTAAGGCCGTTTACACAAGACGTTTCCTCACAGGATCCTACATGACACCTTGCTATCTCAAACCTGCTACCAGTAGCTTGCTTGTCCGGTCGTGTGTTGTGTTGTCGTGGGCCATGCTCAGCCCGGGCTGCACTGTCTGTGACACAACCCCGCCGCAAGCAAAACCTGTCAGTGGCACCGGAGGAGAGTCACAAGCTTTTGGTGCATCCAGTGCAGGGCCTGACAATCCTCTCGCACATAAACTCCAGTAGCCCTTGCATGCAATGCTGCAAGAAAAGTCAGACAACGGTACACAAGATACTCGACGCGTCGGAAAATGTCGAAACCAAGGCAATGCCGCCAAAAAGACATTTCTCACATTCCTGATGCTGCTCATAAATGCAAGAAGCCAACTGCTGTTGAGTGCAACTGCTTCTAGCAGGAGTTCACCACATCTGCCATTGAAGGGCTAACCTCCATGTGCAAGCAGTGCTTTGCCACTGAACTTGCAAACTGGAAGCATCAGGGGCAAGCATTGTGATCAGCGAGCCAGGCAGGCGGTACATGTTCTCCACTGCTCAAACACCACATGTCGACAAAGGTTGTCATCCAGCTGGCCACATCGAAGCAAAATAGAAGCAAAAAGGAGCCAACACTAAATTACTTCATGCTATTCGAGGCCGTTCCTGAGAAGGTGCACAGCAGCCGCTCAGCGGCCTACAAAGGAAAATTGCAAGCATCCCAGTGGAACCAAGCCAAGCAAACATTCGCAAAATCGGATTGGGCCGACACTACAAGCTCAATGCAAGTTGTGCCAGTTGCTCGACGTGAAGAAGCTGCCATTTTTACAGCCTCGGCCGATCACAACTCATAACCACAGCATACCACAGCTATCGAAGTATCCCTCACGTTGATGCTTCTCTGATTTGCCAGCCGATCATGTAAGTTTGAAGATACTAGATACGTGGTGGCGATAAAATGTGCTGAAACAGCGATATTGCTCGATCCAGTTCGGTTCTCGACCACGGGTGCGCGGTTGCCTGACACACCATCTGTGAAGAATCCATCAAGGAAGCGATTCAGCAGAATCTACGACGCAGAAATTCTCGAACCACCTACTTCTCCAAAGCTGGGCTAACCATGCACGAGTGCCAGAACATGGGCTGGACAGCAAGTGAAAGCCGCAAGTTTATTCCGATGCGGATCTCGAGATTTGGAAACTCCCGTCTGGTCAGGTTTGTCGACCGGGGCGTGCTCTCAGTTAGACTTAATCGAAGTAGGTGCATGCATCGGGGAGTTGAGACCCTTGTTGGATCTGTTCGACCTCACCCCTCAATTCCCCAGTTCGATATCTTGTGGCTCAGGTCAGGATTGTGCTCTCTCCCTACCAGCCCTCCCAACATCACTGAGCTATCATGAACAAACACCGGCAGGGCAGATATTGTAGACTTTCCCCCATTCATCCCGCCTCTCTGACCTCACTTGCATGGGTCGCCCAAATCGAATTGGCCTTTCCCCGCCCCCTATCACGTTTGCTCTTGGCGTCTTCCGTGCAATTTATCTCTCTTCTCTCCGTCCAGCTCGCACAGTCCCATTGTAAGCACCATGCCCGTCAATCACCAGAATCACTCGCTCCGTTGGCGCTTGGCCTCGACCAGTCGTTGAAAAGCCCTCCTTCAAATCTCACATGTCCGGTCAGCGTCAGTGAACGCTCAGCAGGGCCAAATCGCTCTGCCTCCGGATGGTTTCCGCCAACCTGTTCCAAGTCAAAGTACGAGTGAACGTGACTGCGCAAGCTCTACCTTCGAAAGCCAAGGGGAAACTTTGTGTTTGCGTCATGGTCAATGCAGGGACGGCAAAAATAGAAGTGCTGCTAGATTTTGCGCAACTTTGCAACCTATCGTTGAAAGATCGTGAAATCCAGCGGGCTTCTTTTGCAGGACCACTTACTTGAGATACACTCCAGTGCATACGTTCACGGCTGGACAGCAACGTGGAACCCTTGGCACCTCGCAGGAACAGTTGGGTAGGTTATAGATGGGCAGGTTGCATTAAGTCAAAACCACCAAAGCCAGCAAAGCGCGCTGTGGCTTCGGCACTCGGCATGGAGCCGCCAACTCCCGGTTCGAACACCTGGGAACAAGATCTGATCGCTTCTGAAACGACAGTTGGTGCTGGGCTGGCCTCGAGTGCCTCTGCTGGGCGCCGTCGTGCTGGCCTTCGGCGAGAAATGCGCAGTCGAGTCTCACATTCTGTCCGAATTTCAGCCCGTCAGTCCACGCTGCAACGAGTTGAAAGGAATGCTCCGGAAATTCGAGATCACGGATGTTTCGCGGGCCTGAAATGAGACTCGTAGTCCGTGCCCTCCTCTGCCGCGCTCGCCGCAGCAGGGTCCCGGGCTTCACATGACGAAAAAATCCTGTGTGGAAGAGGCATGCATCCTCGTCTGCACTAGCAAGCATGCAAAACACAATCGTTGCTCAGTACACACTGCACTGACTTCTAGCTCCAAGCCGTTCAGCACACAGAACCCGTCGGCCTCATGCAAGGGAAGGTCCACACAGATTTTCCTGTCGGGTCACATCCCAGCCCTGATTGTTGGCTGCACACTGTGCTCGCAATGATGTGAAACTTCAGCACATACACGTCGTGCCTCGGCCGTCATCGACTGCCCCACCGAGTTGCCCCAAAACCTCAAACTGTGGGTCTGCTGAGGTGATGAATGCAATCCTGCAGATTCAGGAATTTTGCAGACTCCGCGCCAGCAAACCAAGAGATGCATCGATTGCAAGATAGCCATCGTGCTGGCTGAGACGGTGTGCATCCATATTCATATACATATACGGTATCATATACGCAGGGACCCGGGGAAGTGGGTCCCCATTTTTCTTCCCCACGTTTTCTGTTCTGAAGCTTTTGCTCGTCGCCTAAATTCGGCAGGTGCTGGCTGAAGCCGAAATTCGGCTGAGGGTCAAACTCGGCGCCGATATTCAGTCCGGCAAACGGCCGAAACCAAGAATTGCCCTGACGCACCCTGACGCCTGAAGTCGGCGCTGAAGCCTCAACTCGGTTCAACAGAGTCGGACGGCTGAAATGTTTGACCCTTAAACTCGGTGCCGAAAGCCGGGCCCTTTCTGGACCCGCCGGGGCTAACTTGGCCCTGCAATTGCCTCCAGTCCGCTCGGTGCCTGACACCGAAGATGTCCCTGACGCTGACATTCGGCGCTCATATTCACTGAAGCACAAATTCGGTCCACCGCCAGCCCGACCCCGAAGATGTGCCTGACACCGAAATTCTACGATTTGGTCTGCCCCGAGATGCCCCGAGCCTGACGCCGAAAATGTGCGTGACACCCAAATTCATTAGTCGAAATCTCCATTTTTGGAGTTCAAAGCTATATAAGAATCTTGACTTTTCGGCAGGGGGACCCTGTCAGTTTTCGGCTCCATCCACTCTAAAACCAGAGGCGTGGCAAACCCGGAATGGCCTCAGTGCGCGGTCCTGCTCGCAAAACTTCGCGAACCAAGATTTCGATGCTTTTGCATCCACTGTATCAACGACTTGGGTATGCTAGTGGGGCTACCAGATTTCCTCATAGGCCCCCGCAGGCTGGGTGTGTTTTGCGGGCTGAATGTAGCACCCAGTGAATGTGAGCACATTTTTTTTCGCAGACGGACACGTTCTTTTGCACCGGCACCTTGCGCTTGTAGCTGCCACGAGCCTTGCTTCGGTCGCGTCGGACCCCTCCGGTGCCAAGCTCAAAGCACACGCTGCTGGCACCGCTTGCTTGTGCACCGCAGTGCTCGCCAATGATCCGGCGGGTTTCGCGGCGATTCTCTGGCGTTAGAGTCAACTTGGATATGTAGTGCGTGGCCACCGCCAGGAGTTGCTCGCAACGCCTCTTGTTGCAGAACACATACAGCGAGTCCTGATCATTGGCGCTGCCAGGAAACCCCTGTCCGCCGAGCACAAGTGTGCATGTGCGACCATAGCCATTGGCTCAGGCGAGAAGTCGACGTAGGAGTCCGCCACAATTAACTGTCTCCCCCTGTGCGTCAATGTTCACGTGTGTGTTTGCCTGCCAGGACTGTTCAGCATCCGACGAAGGCACAGTCGACGAAGACGAACTGGAAGAAGAGCCGGAAAAATCCGCAGAGTTCGTGTCGGCTGACCAGCGGTAGGCCTTACAGAAACAGCAAACTCCCTATATTTGTGCCAGTCGCATGCTGGCTCGGCCTGTGCGAAACCCCGCTGGAGCCACACGGCGCTCGCCTCAATGCCGATGCGAACTGTTATTCATCCGGCCTGCGCTGACAGCTGAGGCCGCGGCGAAGTGCAGACGTCGAGCACAATGACCCACAGCACAAATCGCAGACCTTCGCCGTCGAGGGGGTGTAGCCGACAGCATTGATAGTCGGGTTCACAACCAACGTTACCTGTCCTTCGCGTGCATGCGCCACGCAGCTCGCCCCTGGCTGCTTGCACGGTAAGCGCGCTCAGGGTTTCCTTCGCCGCCTATTTCAAGGGGAACGCGGGGCCGCACCGCACCCGACTTTGTGAAATCTCGTGGCATCGACAGTGTGATCAGTGTGCCCGCATCAGTCCAAAACGACATCGACTCTTCGAGTGAATTTTTCAATCCGTCTAGTTCGGTCCCGGTTAACGACGCTTCTGTTTTCCACCCAAATTTGGTCTCGACGCGCGGTGCCGCCACAGCTTGTAGTGAGTTGCCACGTGTTGGGTTCGGACCGTAGTTCAACATCAGAACTCCTTTCAACTTTACCCTTCGATTGATGTGGCACCCATTTCTTACAACCTAGAACTCTTGCATTCTTACAAACCGTGAACTCCCAGGATGGAACCTTGGACTGATGGGACGCACATAGATGAAAACTCAGAACTCTTTGAGCTGCGAGGACGGGGCCTTTTGTTCCTCCTACTTAGCAAGGACTAGCCCGCATTGCAGGTCATGTTCGGAACTGTGGCAGATGCACAGTAGAGCCATCGCAGCACCTTCTCGGATGCCCCGCTTCATCTACTAATTACAGTCATTGCCTTTAGCAGCGGCTCGGCCTAAGCTTTAGGCACCAACCAGAAGCTGCGTGACTGTCTCAAAGACGTGTCACCAAGAACCGAATGTCGTCTTCGCCTCCGAATTTCGTCTTCAGCATCCAAACTTCGTCTTCAGTGTCGAGTTTCGTCTTCAAGGCCGAATTGTCCAGGAGCCTAAACAACAGTCTGCGATGGGTTTTGAATGATGCGGAGCTTCGTCTTCGGGCCGAATTACGTCTTCGCAGTGACTTTTTGTCTTCACGACCGATTTTCGTCTTCGCTGTATTGTAAAACCGATTTCGTCTTCACCCGAACTTCGTCTTCAGGCGGAATTTCGTCTTCAAATTTCGCTTTTGCACGTAATGTCAGCCTCAACTCCTTAGGAACAAGTTCGCCGGGATTTCGTGTCCGGAACCCAGTTTCCCGAGCCAATGCATATGCGTATACATGTGTATGTGTGTATGTGTAAACAATGTATGTATGTGCGTATATATACATATGCATATGATGCAGATGAAGCAACTTCATGTCGTTTGTTCGAGGACTGTTTCGTGGCAGCTCATGGCAGCGCACTGTCCTCGTAAAGGTTCTCAAGAAAAAGAAAAGCAGGACGCACCTGAGCTGAGCGGGCTTCTGAATGGGTCCAGCAAACTCTTTGGACGAAAAATTTGATGAGGCCTTAGACGAAGTTTCTTGGCATGAAATGTCGCACGATTCGATGCGGCCACCTGTAGGCATCGGATGCTCGAAACTGCCTTCTCGCACACGCGCTTCTGTTCGTCGACATTGGTTTGCGTATGCCGGGCTCGTGCAATCGAGGGGCAGAATCATGGCCAGACTTCTCTTGCAAATCTCCTCGCTTCCACGACAAATCTTGCATCTACCAAGCATGAAAGTCGGAAACACCTCAAGCCACCAATGTTCCTCAATCAATACCTGTCCCGAGAACACAAACCAGGACCCACCCTAACAGGGAGCCGAAATACGCACCAGCCGCAGCAAGTCTACCGTGCCCAAGCCAACTGGCGAGCGGCCAGCAACCACCCGAGCAAGCTTCGTACGCGGTTTCCTGCGAGCAGCATCCCCGCATTTGGACAAACTCACTACAAGCGAGGACTGAGGCGGGAAGAACCTCCCAAGCGACAACGGTCACGCCTCGATGCCAAGGTGCAACCTAAAGATTCCCGGGTTCCGGAGGCCGACAGCAGGGCACTGGAATTTTCGCGGCACAGAGATCGATAGATTTCCCAAGACATATGACATCCTAAATCTCATGCACATTTTACAGTCAGATGCCATGGGTCCTTCGGCCAATGCTTTTTGCAACACACACTCGTCGAAGTCATGCGCGAAATTGCTCGTCCGCAGCCTGGGGCTACTTTCACGTTGCGGTGTGCAAGCTAGAACTGCTCCAACATTACTTGCACGGCGTGTGTTGCTAGTCCTCGGGGACGTGTAAGGCTCCTGAAAAAGCAGCTAGTGGAATGCCTACTGCCGTGGTGTGCTGAATCGAGAAAGTGGAGTGCATTGAACTTTGAGATGCCATAAATGCTGTAGACATCACTACATTCGTTTGCCGCACAGCTTTGCAATCACTGTAGGAGAGGCACTTGCGACACATCTTCTCAAAGTCGGGGATGGCCTGTGCCGGCAATAAAGCATGACTTCGCGTACAACAATGTCGCCCTCCAACATTTGTTCCTGGTCATACTATCTTCGGGCCATGCATGCATCACAAGCGCATGTAGGAGTGCGGAAACACCTTCTCCCCTCATGCTCAATGTGGAAACGTCAACATCCCGAATCCTTCATCCAGCCAGGCAAGTCTGGAAGCATCTTCCATCCTAGCATGGCCTTCTGGAGAGATACAGCGTCCAAGCCACGATGCACAATACGTTGCAGCTTCGCACGCGCTGCATCAGCCTATGTTGACAGACATGCAACCTACACACATCTCGTGTTATTGTCAATGACTGCAAAATACACAAAGGTTGAGGCACAATCGTGCGGTGCCTGCAAGTGCCTTGGTAATTTGATCCCGTCTGAAAAAACCCTGGCGAAGGGCCTTCTGCTGACCAATGTTGACCAAGCGGCATCATCGAAGTCTACAAGCCAGGAGTTCTCTCCATCTCGAACAAACCTGCAAGATATGCGGGGTGGGCGGCTGGCTGTTGGCGTGAGTATCACCGGAACGCTGCACAGGGGAGAGTGAATCCTCTGTGGTGGCATGATGTAGACTCAATGTAGACTCAATCGGGCCAAGACTTGCTTCGAAAGAACCGAATTACGAGAGCAACACGTCATGTCGCCCATGCTGCATTGCAACATGCACGAAAGCTCTGAAACTTAGGACTGCACTCAAGGTGTCCTTGGGCTGGCTGTA